GAGCTTTCTCCAAAGGGTGGAGTGACAATCTGCATAGCAATAAAAATTTATGCTATGCCCTCTAATAAAACTGCCTTGGGGAAGTATGTATAATGTAACCAGAATGGGTCCTAGCATAGAAACTTTTGGAACTTCATAATTAACCACTATGCATGAAGAAGACTCCCCCATTGAAATGAACACATTAAAGTCTATTAGATGGGTATCATTCAAACCACTGCAGTTCACTACTTTTAATACCTACAGCATGATCTAATCTCTGTAATGAAATATTATGATCAACAGTACTGAGGCCAACTAGAACAAGCACAGATAATAGTCAACTATCTGATAATTTGTGACCTTCACTGATGCTTTTTCTGTACTGTGATGACTTTTAAATCTGGCTGAATAAACCATTCCTCTGCAGGTGATCGGGTAGCTGTTTTATAACTACTCTAAACCCTTTATAGACTTTATAGACTCTTTATAGACTGCAGTAAAGGTTTATCATATTATCATATTTCTTCATATTAGACAGATATGCATCACTTTCTGGAGAAGGTCTGGAGAAGGCTGTATCTATTTCAGCTTCAGCTACACCATGATCCCTCAACAAGGCCTCTGACAGGGATGCTAGATGTGATGTTTACACGAGATATGAGGGGCACTGCTTACAAATTAGTCCCCTTGCTTGTATCGCTGTCTCTCTTCTCAGTGGTCTTCTAATAGCTGCGCTAGCTGGTCTGTCAGTGCCTTAGCAATGACCTTATTCATGTTAACATTGGTAGCAAGCAATGACTCTAGCTTTGATCACCAGGAGAAATTATTAAGTTATTACATAGAACATTAAATTGTGTGATAATGAATTTTTATTCAAAACACTCTGAATCGAAGCATTGATTTTAAAAAAGAAAGAAAGAAAGAAAGAAAGAAAGAAACAAACAAACAAACAAGTCAACAACCTAAAAGAATGGGACATTTTATTTTCAGTTTTAGAACTTCAGAGACTCTAAAACCGACATCTTATGGATAAAACGGCTTATTGTGCTGTGTATCAAACTATATATAGCATACATAACATACAGTTTGATACTCAACATCTAAACCATTTCCCAAATTCCTGAGTCTCTGAGGCATCACTAGAAGTACTTAAAGGTTCAAACCTAAAAATGTAATAATTATAAAAGATTTAATTATAATAAATGTTACATATGAAACACTGTAAGGATGTTTATAAAAACCTTACATTCAATTATAGGTTTACAAACAAACAAAAAAATAGAAAGATAGAATACTAGTACTTAACATTCTTTTTATATATTATACATTTCAAGTTTTTTGCCAAACTTTATCAAAAGACAGATTTTGCTACTTTTTACACTGAGGTTTTGGGTCAAATTGAATTTTCTTTTAGCCATTTAAAATAATATCATTTAAGGAAAGCAAATTTTACATGATCTGATTTTTTAAGTAGGTGCTAAAGCCATATTTGGCTCACCCATCCACATCTGGCTCTAGGTAGTCCTCATCTCTCTCCACCAATCCTGGGGCTGCTGTGTTTAAGTCATCAATTGTTTGGGAGCTGTTGTGAACCTCTGGTGTAGTCTGTGCAGTTTCAGTAATCATACCAATGTCGTCATAACTTTCCTGTGAATCTTCCCCTTCGTAAGTCACCCCATCTGTCACAAAGAAAATCAGATTGCAAATGTTAAACATTGATTAGTCAAAACACTGTGATAGTGCTAGTACTTTCATTATGGACACCTTCATGAACGTTGATGTCTCGGGCAGCAGGAGCAGTCGTGCCTGAGAAGGTCAGGGGTCGAGCCTCATCTGCTTCAATATCCTCATAAGGTAAAGAGGAAACACTTTGCCCATCTTTCTCTGAGATCATTTCCGCCTCTGATCTGACTCCTGAATGAAAAATAACATGAGAACACAAAAAAAGTTTCCCCCAAAACGCCCACATCTCAGATATGTGCATATTTTTAATGAAAACGGAACCTTGACTAGTGCAGTAATTTGAAATCTGTTTTATATCTCTGTTTAGGCCCACGCTGAAAGGGAAATTGTGCACCTTTAAGTGGACATCAGGGAGAAGCAGTAGCTCAAGGCAAGAAGACAACATCAAAAAGTAAAGCCAAATTTAATTCAGGTAAGGTTTTCATTTCTATAGCCAGAACCTCTCAAGTTGATGATATAGTGCAATTAAGTAGACATAACTTCAATTGGTGTATTAATATGTAATAATGATTAATATTATCAGTGTAAAGTATAACAGTGTTTTAGGTATTACTGCTTCTTAAATTACCACATCATTACCACAATACAAATAATGAGTTTTAGTTATGTTTAAATGACACTAAAATCTAGACTTTGATTAGGATTAATAACACGAATATGAAAAAACTGAATGAATGAACAAAATAATCAATCAATCAATAAACAAATGAATGAATAAATGACACACTACCATGACTGAGGTCTTCCATCTCATTTTCTTTGTCTATGACATCCTCATATTCCCCACTTTCAAACTCCAGTTCTTTCCCAGGCAGCATTTTTGCTGAAAGATTAATGTATTACACATTTACTGATAGAGTACATAACTACAGCTGTCTAACCAATGCACTGTGCTATTGAACCAGTGATGTACCAGTGTACCAGGGTACAACACAAGACAAGGAAAATCGCAACACACGCACAGGTTTGGGTAATTCTACACGTTTTGTATGTACATTTTCAATCAAGTAAGCAATCTTCGACTTTGCTAATGTGCTGCTTGTTCAGTCAGCAACAGTGACTGTGTTATTTAAAATGCTGTCTGAAGTCAGAATTCAGTCAGTATGCTGAAAGACTGCCCTCTTGTGGCAAAAAGCCTCCAACGCCTTTTTCTTTAAACTTGGATGATGAGGATGGATCTCATGTTCAGTTTAGTTTTTGATACGTTCTAAGGTAATTTGTTAAAAGAGAAACAAGCCATGTAATAAATATACTCACATGAAACTTTGGACTTCCTGGCTCTCTTGACACAAAATCGTATAAATACAGAAATCAAAATTATTACAACAAGAAGAAATCCCACACCCACGATAATAGGTGCTATGGATGTAGAAGGAGGTGGTGAGGTTGGTGAGGGTGGTGGGGGTGGTGAGGGTGATGTTGGCGTGGGAGTTGGTTTCACATAGCCTGAAATAAAGCAAAGCCACTTAGGTGTTTCTGGATCCAGTCACAGTGAGAGCTGTAGTTGGTTCATCATGTTTATCTGCACCACCTCAAGGTAAGTAAGCTCAGAGTTACAGATTTTAAAAAAAGTCTCTTCTCTGCAAAACATGTGAAGGAATATTTCTGAAACCAATAGAAGATATTAAGAAAGGATTCATGAATTCTCTTACCGGGACAAATGATTGTAGCTGGAGAAACTTTTTCACAGGAACGTTGTTTGACAGAGCGCTTGATGTCCATGGTAACATCAGTGAACTCCAGTGTTGTTTCTAAGTTTATCTTGAATCAAATTTAAACTTTTTCACATTTAGTGATACAGCCAGAACAAAAAACACTAAAATATCTCTGGCAGTAAAAAGCAGGCCTGACTGAAGCATCAAAGCAACACACAGCAAAAGAAGTCACTAGAAGTCCAAACCAAAGGTAGGACAGTCCATTTCTTTTACGTTTCTGCAACTTTGTGTCAGCAAAGTGTCCAGTAAGTTTTTAACTTAAAAATCTTGGAGCATTTTGTATTTAGTCAGCTAAACCTCCCATACATTTCTTTCCATTTCATAAACCTAAATAATATAAAAATCACATTCCAGTCTTCATTATTAGATTTAAATAAACTGAGACACAGAGCCAGGAAACTGTCCATGATACTGGTTTGTAGCATACGAGAAAGATTAGTGACCGGTTTCAAGAAACAGAATGTAAAGATTTACCTGTTTGTCTTCCGTAGAGATGCTATGGTTTTCTTTCTTAATCTCTTCACAGAGCTTTCTCTCTAACACTGCGGAACGATTAAATGGACATACTCTTTCCCACTTATCTCGATAAATGACATAAAGGACACCTCCATGTTTTTCAGCGGTGCGGAACTTTACACTTTCTGTAAAAGCAAAGAAACTGTGTTTAAAGAAGGAAACAAGCTCATCCACTTCTGTCTGGCAAATATGATGTTAGAGATGATCTGCTTGCGTTCATAATGTGTTTAAAAAATGAACAAAAATAATTTGTACATTTTTTAAATTTCTGAGATGACTTTTCTAATGAACAAGCCAAATGGTCATTGTTACAGAAACTGGAATAAGTTCCTTAACAGTGGCATAAGCAATTTGAGAATGTCGTTGTCATGTTTCCTTTTGCAAAAAACAAAAAACTGTAACAATTACCCCAAGATAATGAATTAAAATACTACCAGAATTAAGAGAGGACATACATGTATGTACTGTATATAGGGATGAGTTTATGGAAAGAGAGGTGTATGGACTCACACTTACCACTACAAGTAATGAACACCACATTTTTGTCACACTTTCCTTTAGTCCTCCTGCACTGGCCAATGATGGAATGGTACTTTTCACAGCTGACATGGTAAATGTTACCTGAACCCTTTGATGGAGCTTTGGATTCAATGAAGACAGCATTGCCACAAAGCTTTTCTTGGCAAACTTTGTGTGCGTAGGATAGATCCCAGTTACTAGCACACACTGGAACGTCATCTATCCTCACTTCCCCACGACAGCCCTGTGAAATGCTGACACTGGGCTCCTCTGGGAAGGAAAGCAATAAACACTGCAGTCAAGTATTGATAAAGACATAAAGTGCTGAGGTAGAAATGATCAGTTAATCTTCTCTGCACTGCAAAGTCAAAATATGAAGCACAAGTCCATAATCAAATAGTTCATTTAACACTTTTAGCTTTGGTTTGTTACTTTATCCAGTGTATCTGGAATAATTCTCCTTCACACTCCGAGTGTCTTGTTTCACTCTTCAGTGTTTCCAGTGCAAATGTAAAATGTCTGTGATCATTTAAGATCAGTCCTGCTGATATAAATCTTACTTTTGCATTCAATAAAGACAGGCTCATTCCTTGAGGGTGTGGATTTATTTTCACATTCCCAAATGCTTCCTGGATTTTCACCACAGCTGAAGCTTTTGTTCCAAAAAGAATCTATTTCAATTGTTTGGGGGTGGATTTTATTTGTTGATTGGTATCCACCACAGTCCATATCCTGGCAAAGCTTTTCCTTCTCAGTTTCATTGAAGTTTTCTCTGGAAACAGCACTGAGTCCCTGTCTCCAGTGAACCAACACTGTTCCACTACAGGCCTTTTTGTCAGGTACCATCGTCCTCCATTCTGAGACAGACAAGAGAAATAAAAAGTTCACAAAACATGATGTAACCAACAGGATCTGAATGATATAAATAACACACTCTGCACACAGAAATGACATTATGATCCTGCATCAACTTAAAGTTTTACACTTTTGAAGTTTAGCTACCCTTCTGACTGCTGTGTAAATAAAATGATTTTATAGAGTGATAACAAAGAGATGACAACTGATGGCAGCGATATTTCTATAACCATCAGACTGCACAGGCCAGCTGTTTCCAGCTGATTCCAGACATTAAGTGAGTCAGACTGTGTGGCAGAGCCGTACTGGTGACATGGACAACAAGCAGAAAAGAAAAGAGTAAAACTGAGTAGAACAAATATCATTAATGGAGGTGAGGATGTTAATATTCTACCCTTTATTTCACTAACAGTAACCTTTCAAGGCGAGCATGTCAAAGTTTGAAAGCAGCATTATTTTTATCTCAACATTTTTCTGAAATACAAACTAGTCTCAGTTTGTTTCAATTTCAATTCAGTTTCAAAGCCTTTATTTTAAAATTAGGCTGAAGGAGCAAAGAATAATTCAGAAACTGCTGACACAAAGATCATTATACACACCAGAGCATCGGAGGCCACTGTGTTTGCAGGCAGCTGTAGAAGCAGTAATACTGCTGCATGCAGATAATGGACTGTTAGCATTTGCAATGCAGTTTAGGTTTGAAATGGCTAATTTCTCTGCTGGTGCAGGTCCAAAGTAGGGAAGAGTCTCCACAGCATCACCACATTTAAGCTCCTGACAGATGGTGTTTCCATTGTTAGTGTCTTTGAGAGCATCCTCGCACACAGGGATCCACTTCCCCTCATACTCCACCTCTACGTTTCCAAAGCATTTGTAACTGGGAATGCTAAATCTGGGCTTGACACTACCTGAAACAAATTAGTAATGTTGTCACTTTATTTTTAATTATCCATCATAGTCATAGTGAAAAGATGAAAAGGTAACTTCAGAAAAATTCAAATTTGCTTCTTTAACACAAAAAGGATTTGAAGGAATATTTAAAAACAGATTCATGTTAAAGCAAAAATCAGTCTCTTTTTGTTTTTTAAATTCTGGTATCCTGTAACTTAGTGACAAAAATTCAACAATCCAATAAACTGCAACAATAAAACTGGCAATTTTTTCCAAAGGAGGCAAATTAGTTGAAAATGAAACATTCTGCCAAGGAAAGTCACAACATTTATTATATGTTTGCAATCTAAAAATAGTTTGTTTTTTTTAAAAAAAACAATTAATTACCTGAGCAAACAACATAGGCTGGTTTTTGTTTACAGGACTTATCATTGTCCTGGTTTTTGACAAAGATGCTCTGTGTCAGGTCAGTAGTCTGATTTGTCGGGTGTAAACTCTTAAAGAGGATATCACCATCTTTGGGACTGTTGTGGGCTTTTATGGGCGTCCCACAGTTCATCTTTTCACACAGCTTCACAGACTTGTCTTCTGTCCAGGTGTCTGCACACATATCTCCTTCCTTCTCTTCTACACGAATCCTGACTTTTCCCCAGCAGCTGTTCATCAACCTCATCTCAATATTTCCTGTTGTGACATGAAAAAGTTAAATTTAAGAGGAAACTAGTATCAGCAGATATTTCACAACTTCTTAGACCAAGCTAGGTTTCAGAAAAAATAGAAAATAGTAGAAATTTGATTGAGAGAAAACAAGGAGGTGAATGTACATCTATGGACATTAAAAGGTAAAGTCTGTTATAAATAAATTGTGTCCTCTGAGTGGATCACATTACAACTAGTGACACAATAAATCAATTCCATATTGACCTTATTCTTAGTTTTATACTTTAACTCATTCATATTTCACATTACCTGAACATTTCACATAAGCAGTAGAATTATGGTGGTCAGGAGGCAGAGGTGTAGTTCGGCTACACTCAAAAAGAGATTTTTTTCTGGATGAGCAGCTAAAAGAGTTTTTCCAAACTTTATTAATCATATCAGCCCTAGAATTGAAAGAAAAGTTTGCAGCGTTCCCACAATGCATCTGCTGACACACTGTGTCTGCAGACTCTTGGTTCCATGTCTCTTTAGACCCAGAGAGCCAGTAGATTTTTCTGCCATGCTCTATCCCCACGTGACCAGAACAGGTTCCACTTAAAAACACCACCTTGTGACCTGATGGACACAAAGAGAGAAACATGATATACAGTAAGTGGCTGTGCAGGTCATCTACCTGTTGAAAGGTCAGTGGTTCACAAAGACATAGACACAAAAATAGGAAAGTGGTGCATAAATACATACTTGGTGAAAGAAGCTGAATGGAGATATACCACAGTCTGGGCTTATTCCAGCATAACTAAGTGATTATTCGGGGTCACCTTATTGAGCACTAATTATAAGCTTTATCAAAAAGGAAGGTTTGAAGCCTAATCTTAAATGTAGACAAGGTGCCTGCCTACCAAATCCAAACTGGGAAGTAATTCCAGAGGAAGAGGGGCCTGAAAGCTGAAAGCTCTGCCTTCTATTCCACTTTTAGGAACCATAAGTAGCCTGTAGTCTGAGAGGGAATTTGTTCTAGGGATCCAATGAAGAGAAGCCAATAAATCACAAATCTGCTCTCTACTGTTAGTCCATGTCAGTACTTGTGCTGCAGCATTCTGAATCAACTGTTTTTTACTGGCGAATTTAATTTTTGGCTAATTTAACGTTTATAAGGTTAAAATGTGCTTAGTTTTATCTCTATTTATAGGTAAAAATTAGCATTGTCTGTAAGACTTTCATTACTAAGCATGTAACTGTGCCAAAATAATCTTTTAATTAAATATTTGTGTAAACAGTCAAGTATTTTAAAGAAAAAAATGTTAAAATGGAATGAACAATGAAAATTAAATTGTAGGCATGGAAGGACTTTTGAGCCTGAAGGAGCTGTAGGAATAAAAAGTGAAGTTAACTAAGCTGAGCTTTTCTTCTGACTGACATTGATGAACGAAAATGTTGTTTTCCTGGTTTTAACAATTTATCATATTTTAGTGTGTCTGCAGCTTTTCCTGTCTTGATCCATCACACCAATATCATCTGTGACTTGTTCAGCAACTAAAAGACCAAAGATATAGACATAAAGCCTTCCTTTAAGGAAGGAAATTGTTTTTCTGGTTGATGTCACTGAAGGGCAGAGAAATAAAAAAAATAACACTCACCCTCACAGGTGATTCCAGCTGCTTCCGTTTCCCGATCCGAAAATTGGTTGTTTGAGTTTTCTGTTAAACACTCAGATATCTTTGATATATTCTTATTTCTCGGACACGTTATTGACAGGAAGCTACCAGAACCCTGACTGAATTTTTCAGTTTTGCCTTTTTCCCCACATTGCAGTTGTTTGCAGACAGCTGCTGATTGAGCGTCTGTCCATCCTTTTACAGGAACTTTCTTCCACTGGCCCTCATGCTTTATGTCCAATCTTCCAGCACATCTTCCAGGACCATCTGCCAGTTTCACCTCCACACTGCCTGTACCACGACAATAAGAGATTTATCAGCCACGAAACACAAAAAGAATAAATACATTAAATTAAACTCTTACTGAACACATTTTGGAAAAATAAAATCAGAATTTAACAATGTCACAATTTCACTGAATGAAGTAACTCATTTTCTCTCTCGACAGAGAATTTATTGCAGGATTTAAAATCCCATTATAAAAGTAGACAAAGGCCATCAGCAGCCACTCTGTACATTTCCACTGCTGTATCTCACCTGAACACACCACATAAGGTTGGTTTGAACACTGGATGTTCTTGCCATGCTGAGAATGACAGTGCCACAGTGAGGACTCGCTGCCTTTGCACCTCACATGGTCCATTATCCCTCTTGAATTTTGACGTTCGACTTTAGTATAAATCAGCTAGAACAGAGCATTTATGAGTTTATGTTATTTCATTGATAATCATTATTAATTAAGTATTAATGGTGCACGTTAGTACACTTATCACAATAAAGTCCATAGCACTGCTGTATGGACAGTTTCTGATACACTCAGTATCCATGTATCAGAACACCAGGTAACTTATGTTGACTAAACTTGAACACTCACTTCCCCACATCCAAGCTCCTTGCAGACCAATTCAGCTTCCTCTTTAGTCCAGGTGGAGGCACACACAGGATTAACTGAACCTTTCACTTCAATATTAACTGTACCATAGCACTTGCTGTCTTTATCAGAGTCCTTCAGAACTACTTTAACTTTATCTGAGGGAGAGAGGGAGAGAGAGAGAGAGAGAGAGCAGTTTCACAGTGTGAAGTGTTTGCTTGGAAGTTGTTTGTGTTGGAATATAGATGTGTTGAATTACCTGTGCATGTCACATTAAGGTTTTTGTTTGGGCTGAGAGAGTTACCGCAGTGCATTTGCTGGCACACATCAAAATCAAAGTTGTCCTGTTGAACAGGTACCCAGTTGTTATTTTCTTCTTTCTCCAGCTGCCCAGAACACACATTTGACGGATATCCTTTGAGCTGCAATCTCGTATGACCTGTTCATAAAAACACTTTCACCATATGTGTGTGTGTGTGTGTGTGTGTGTGTGTGTGTGTGTGTGTGTGTGTGTGTGTGTGTGTGTGTGTGTGTGTGTGTGTGTTACCTTCACATATGACAGAGAAAGTTTTGCATGATGCTGAATCATCATTGCCATTCGCACACTGCCACAGATGATCTGGGTCTCCGTTTTTAAAAGCCGAACAATCAAGCTTCATCTTTGATGCTTTTTTGAATCTTTCCCTATCCCCCCTCTCTGAGGGAGGAATTTCTCTGAGTCCACCACACCCGAGATATTTACACAGAAGCCTGGCTTCTTTTTCACCTTTTTAAGAGAGGAATAATTTATTGTTTGTTCATCAAAAACATCGCAAAACATAAAAAAAATGATAGAACTTATTGCAAATCAAATTGAGAGAGAGCAATATTGAAAATATTTAAACAGCCCTGCCCTTTGAAATATATATATATATATATATATATATATATATATATATATATACATATATATATATATATATATATATATAAATAATTAACAAAAAGAGAAGACATACCAATGTTGTTGTTACAAAAGTAACCCTGAGTTATGCCATCAACAGAGTACTGGACAGCTCCAGCACATTTGGGTCCATCCAGGCTTAATGTGATATTACCTTGAAGAGCACACTCAATTATCAGCCAAATATAAACACAGATTAAAAAAAAACACAAAAAAACCCCACACAAAACAACCAAACAAACACCACAATTGATTTCCCTTAACAACTTTTAGCTAAGAGTCATTGTCACTGAGCTCACCAAAAATAAATAAATAAATAAATAACAAAAACAGAGAAAAATTTGAAAAACTTACTTGAACACTTAAGTTTTTTCACTGTGACCTTTGAGTAATCGCTGTAGTTCCAACCAGGATGTTTACATTTCCACAGAGCGCTCTCGTGTCCTTTGCACTCCAGTTCATTGAGCCAGATCGGTCTGTCTTCAGAAGGCTTGGGAATATCTGTTACTGAGTTCTCCACAGGTTCCCCACAGTGAGTGCTCTTACAAACCACTTTTTCAGTGTTGTTGCTCCAGTGTGTATCCCCAACATAACCCCATTTGTTGTTATGGTAGACTTCAAGGTAGCCTTCACATGGGTAGCCTCCTTTGTTTTTTAGAATCAGTTTGTCCTCAGCTAGGAACATACAAGGTTTATACAGCAAAGTATTATTATAAGAATTATGATTTGTTTCATGACTTACTTTTGGGAACTGCAAAGGATAAAATTTTAAACCTTTGTTTGTGCCATAACATCTGAATACAAGTAAAAATAATAATAATAATAATTTTTTGTTTTGTATGCCTTTACGTTTTACTTTATTATTGTAATATATTTAGCAAGATATTTCTAAACACATTGTTTTTGTGTATCATTATTATTATTATTATTATTATTATTATTATTATTATTATTATTATTATTATTATTATTATTATGAATCCATTAAGTCTTAATCCAAACAATTCTGCTTATAAAATTTCTGGGCGGTCGGAATCCAGCTGTCATGGGGAAAGAGGCAGATAACACCCTGGACAGGTCACCAATCTGTTAACATATGGAGAAACTCGTGTTTACATTACACACACAGTTAATTTAGATTTACCAATTAACCTACTGCATGTATGTGTTTGGACTGTGAGAGGAAGTCAGAGTACCCAGAGATAACCCATGCAGACACAGGTGGCTGTGCCAGCTCCACACAGAAAGGATTATGCAAAAATCACAATAAAAAAAAAAGCTTAAAGTGGACGCCAGACTAGATTGGAACCCGGTATTTTCTTTCACCGCCATGCTTCCCACTATGTTTGTTTATACGTCTTTATAAATAGAAACATACATAGATTTAGCAATGGAAGCTTTTAGCGGTTGTGAATTTTTGCCATTCTGTATTTTATGTTTAGCCCCACAAAAAAGACCAATTTTTACATTAAGCTTTGAAAGATATTGTAGCGAGTGTAAACAAATAACACTGATTGTTTTCTTTGTTTGAAATCTACATTCTAACTCTTTTAAAGTATTAATATTGTATACTAATTATCAATTAATTAATTTATTAATTATTAATTTCTATAGTTTTTAATTTCTATAGACATTTTAAAGACTCATTCATAATTCAAATTCATAATAATATTTATTACTATTAATAACATCCAGAATTAAAGAAACTAAACTTACCTTGTGAGATCACCAGCTCAACGTGAGCGATGTGAAGAAACAGGAGCAGGAACCACATCATCACCACAGCTCATGACTTGAGAGTGAGACAGACAAACGATGTGCTGGGCTTTATATAGCCGTGGCTTCGCCCACCAAAAAGGAAATGAGCAGCATACGCGCCAAAGTTACAAATATTATCTTAGGCTAAAAGAAAACTAACACAAAAGTGCTCTGATTTCATATACAATACCCTTTTCAATTTAAACTCACTATGATGCTGCGAAATTGAAAAAATGTTTAAACATATCAACGGTAGAACATACCGTCCATAAGAATGTGAAATTGGTCAACTATTGATAAAACATAAATTCAATAAAGTTGAATATCAACCTTTTTCAGTAATTCTGATATGTAAGAGCATTATGTCCTTAAATACAAAGGCTGCTTTAGGGAACAGCAAATACAGTAATCATCAGGAAAACCAAACATCATCTTAGAGAAATATCAGATTTTTTAGAAGCGGGTCATTCCATCTCACATCAGCCAAATTTCTCCTTCAACTTGTCCATTTCACATAAACATTCTATTGCACAAAGTTTGAACATGTAAAGCAAGTGCTGTGAAATTTTCCTTTATACATTGAGCCCCTTTCAGGCCATTGTTTGGAACATCGAAATCTGAAACCATGTTTGAAGATGAAAAAGTCTTTTAGAGAAAAGCCTACAATTTTCACTGGTTTTTCTTACACTCAGCATGAATCAGTTTCTGGTACAAATTAGCGTATTTTTTGTTATGGAGACCTGGGTCACTTGTCTCAAATTATGAAATTTTTTAGAACATCTTCTGTTAAACCTTCGACAGTTTTTATGTCAACTGTTGAACATACATAATGATTACTGTTAATTTTTTAGCTTTTATACTTTCCAAGATACATATTTAAAAAAACATAAATACAAAACAAACAAAAAAAAACCCTTTCGGTCCATTTCTTCACACATTGTTACAACTATTCTCGATGTAACTGAGGAAATATTTTGCTAAATATATGAATATTTGCCTCTTAGTCTAAATTATCTTGATGGCAGTAGTAGGCAGTATTGTAGGTAGGCAGAATAGGTTTTGAAAATGAAAAATATACACATAATTAACAGAATATGATTTTGAATATTAACTGGAAAATTCAGGTTAGACTATGTACTAATTTATTTATTCATTTTTTGTTTGCATGTGGTGCAGCCTTTGATATTGTGACTATTAAATGTTAAAAAATATTCTGTTTTAGCATTATCATGAAATATAACTTTATACTGTTCAAAATTGTGTGAAGTTGTATTTTATTCATGTGTTTTCAAATACGAAACTGCTTGAATTATTTCTTTTTTAATATATAAATAATGTTCGTCTTGTAATCGGAAGGTTGCCGGTTCGAGCCCCAGCTCGGACAGTCTCGGTCGTTGTGTCCTTGGGCAAGACACTTCACCTACCACCTACTGGTGTTGGCAAGAGGGGCGATGGCGCGATATGACAGCCTCGCTTCTGTCAGTCTGCCCCAGGGCAGCTGTGGCTACAACTGTAGCTGCCTCCACCAGTGTGTGAATGTGAGAGTGAATGAATAGTGGAATTGTAAAGCGCTTTGAGGGGTCCCGAAAGCGCTATATAAATGCAATCATTATTATTATTATTATTATTATTATTATATATATGTATAATTTAATTAGCTAATACACAGGCAATACCCAAATACAGATACAGATCTTTGTCTTTAATATTCAGTAAACATTACGTTCGATTTCAATGTGCAAGAAAAATGCCATGAATGAGGGTCAACAGGTCTTTTAAAAAATAGATGTGTAAAAAGGTATTTTATATATGAAGCTAAAATTAACAGTAATTTACACAGACTGTATATTCAAACTTTGAACCATATTTATTTATTTTTTTAAATAATCGGAGGTGGCAGAGAAGAAAATATTAAAATGTAAATTTGCATACATTCAAGTTAGTCAATTATTTTCTGAGTTAAACAAGTGTACCATCTGAAAACTCCAAAATTGGGGGGGGGGGGGGGCGCAGGGTAATCCATTAATATTTTTGTTTTTGTGTTACACGTGTCACATTCATCCTACTAAATGAGACTTAGAATTTAATATTAAAAAGTATTCTAAGTGCTTCATTTTACTGTACTTGGGAAATTCTGCTACATAACTTTTGGAAATTGTCCAAATTTGTCTCTTCTGCACAAAATGCAGAAAATTTGTGTAAAAATGTTGAAAGAAAATGACTTATGTAGCCTTATATATGTAGCCTTAGGAGAAGTAAATAGCTATCCATGCATATCATGATAAGCTGTGAGTACAGTTACTCTAATGATAATATCCATTCTGATGTTTACAAGTTTTACATTTGAATTTGCTTAAACTGTGGTCCCAGGTGTAAACTGAAAGTATGAGAGAACTGCACAGGGCTGTGGGTTTGTGGCTAGAGACTTCTCAGAGCTGTGACTAACTGCAAAAAATATTCTCAAGTGCACTTTAGTAACTTGCTAAACTACATTCACCACCAGGGCAACAAAAATCCAGGTGCTACTGGTGCCATTAGACAGAAAAGAAATAAGTCATTAAAGGAGTTATCTGTTTTTTAAGAATTATCTGCTTGATGCTAGCTGTCTCAAAGGATCAAAACACGTCATACTTTTTATACCGTGCCAAACATACGAAATGTACAGGATTCTGGATAAAGTTGGAAGTTGTAACTAATGTGGCTGCAGTAACCTTCATTATAAACTAGTAAACCTCATCCACTCTGGAGTCCTGGCCACCAAGTAGTTGTTTAACTGCCTTTTGTGTAAAATTGGAGGATAATGTTAGGATTAATTGGAAGATATTAGTGTGGCGGCAGGAGTAATAATAGTAGAACAAGACTTATGCTTGCCCTTAATGCAGCATGTGTATGGATGCAATCACTGTCATTGTGCCATATGCTGCATGTGCTAGAATGGTTACTGCTGTTAGCAACTGCTAACTGATATACTTTTAGCATTAAGATTCATCCATCCATCCATTCGCTTCCGCTTCTCCTTTTCAGAGTCGCGGGGGGCGCTGGAGCCTATCCCAGCTGTCATTAAGATTATTTCTACTTTTTTCAGAAACTGTAGAACACAAGGAGGAACACATTACACACACCTATCAAGTCTGTCTCTAATGTTACTACACTGCTGTGTAAAAGTCTTTATTTTGCTTGGAAAATGGGTGCATGAAACATGACAAGATGGAGATACGGTATAAAGAGGCAAAAAGAGAGCATGTAGAATTCTCAAAAGCTTGAAGGTCAATATTTGATATGTCCACCTTTAGTCTTCAACAAATTATGAACTTGTAGTTTGAATATTTAGTGTAGAGAAATAGTTTTCCAAGCTTTTTGAAGGACATACAAAGTTTTTCTTTGATTCGAACCAAGCTCTTCATATTGGTTTATGGCTCTATAACCCCCTTTTGCCACTGATTTTTACTCTAGTTCTTGTGTACTTTGGCATACCTCAACAGTTTTCTCCCTGTTTCCTTATGGCTTCCTGACAGTCACCCTTCCACTGATTAAACTTTGGTAAACAGTAAAAAGAACAACTGAAGTGGCAGATGCATCAGTCAGGTCACAGATATCAGGTCTTTCCTGGATTTTTTCCTGTCTCTTGATGACATGTGTTTCAGATACTATTCATCTACAATAAATAATTATTTAGGCCTGAAACTTCTTCTCACCAAAAAGTTCTCTGGGACTTAGAGTGTTGCTGCAGAAATATTGCTTGATGTCTAATAAACTGCTATATTTGTCAAATTTAATTAAATGCAGCCAAAGAAATGGAAACACAGTAACATGGTGTCTAAATATGCATTTTTATGCTCACTTGTATGTTACGTGTGGGCACAGTCGTTCATCCTTTGAGTTAGGTGCCTTTTTTGAGCTAAAATGATTTACAGGTAGTTTAACAAATCAAAAAAGTGATGTCAAGGTTCGGAGGAGTTAATACAAATACTATATCTTCCTTTACATTATTTTGCTAGTGTCTAAAAATTAAGACACTAATGTTAATGCAACATAAAGTTTTGACATCAGTGGGTGACTTTTTCAAATATGCATGCCCCCTAAAAGAAAGGTTGCCTTTTTTTATTTATTTATTTCTTTTTTAATAAATTGTTGGTGGGAAAATCTGTTTGATCCTACATCTAAGCGTAAGACTCACACAGAGGTGTCTTGACCACATTTACCAGTGACGTGATCAGAAATGAAGCATAACTGACACAACCATGAGCTCTAGTTTGGAGGTAGCTTAACAGAAATGAAGCCACAAACCTCTGGGTTGTATTTTTGAAACCAGAACGACTATCTAGGCAGGAAACTGTGATCACATACGCTTCTGCTTCAGATATATTCTCAGAAAAATATGAAAGTATCAACTCCTACTGTACCTGTGTTTAAAAGTTGTTGTTTTTTTTAAATAGATCCTATATTGGGTTTTAATTTGCTTTAAACATTTACTGTAAATATTCGTTCAATATTCGTATGTTTGTATGACATTGAATACAATATTAAAGGACACGCTAACCAGCAAACAAGACTCTCTGTGTGCACAGCCCCCAACACACTACAGATACACACAGTGTTAAACAAAACTGTGTGACTTTTACACATACCATACATTACCACAAACTGTAGCAACTGCCAGGGACTAATACATTGCTTGGTTTCAAGTATTTAAAAATGAAAAAAAAATCACATGAAAAGACAAAAATTAATTAGTGCAGTGATGATGTATATATCTGTGCAAACCTTGATAGAGTCACTTCAGAAGTTACTCAGACATCCTCTTTTACAACATGCACAAAAATCATAATAATGTTTTAAAAATGCATTTTCTCTTGTACCAGCCACACCCTGGCCTGATTACTGCCAAACAAGTTCAGTTAAATAAAACCTGTCTTAAAAAGTGTAGCAAGGTGAACAATCTCAAAAGTCAACACATCATTCCACAATCTAAAGAAACTCAAGATGAACTGAGAAACAAAGATATTACATCTATTGGTC